GAAGCACAATCATCGATATCTGGTGAAAGATATATTTGTCATTAATATATTTGGTACCAATCTATTGATCTTAATTTTAACCGTTTTCATTTACCTGTCTGACAGTAAGCACCCGTAAATCCTGCAGGACATGTACATCTGTATGAGTTGTCTCGGTCTTGACATGATCCTCCATTTTGACAAGGATTAGAAGCACACTCATCGATATCTGATTTTGAAAAAAAGGTTTGTCATTTATATAATTGTACCAACCTATTTAAACTTCAGTAAGGGAGCATTCATTTTTTAGGAGCGGGGGGTGGGCCGGAGGAATTGAGGGGGAGGGGTAAAAAAATTACTAGATGATGAAAAGGGGTGGGTCACATTTTTCTGAAAGTTAAACCAGGGGGGTCATGAATAAGACACTACCACAAAGGAGAGCTTTACATAGGGTTTTTAAAAAGTGACTGTTTGAAGGATTGGAACTGTGATTCCTGTACAGCTAATAAATCAGTTAGTCCAGATCCAGTTCTGCCAAAGCGCACACCACGACCATATCCTGACAGCAAACAACTGCCTTYGTATCATTATCTTCCTGCATCTCGAACACCAGCAATGAATGATGATGGTAGTTCGAGAATGCCAGACGACTTACTGCCACTAGCACAGCTACGGAAATGCTTCATACAAAGCATGGATTTGCAATGACACAAAAACACTGGAAGAATTTTCAAACAAATATATTGTTGGCATCGACTTTGTCCAAGAATATATTGAGCACTTAAGAAGCATCGAACTCAGAGAAGTAATAAGAAAACAGGAAAAGGAAAAAGCAAAGTTAGAGGACAATTCAGAGAATATCAACATTACAATTGGCAAGAAATGTGCCAGACAGGAATCCTGAAGAAGTTGAGAGTTTCTGAACTTGACAAGTATCTGCATCACCATGAATTGTACAAAAAGATGTTAGGAAACAAAAAGTTGAGCTTGTTTCTGCTCATATTGGGCAGCAAATATGTGAGAGGATATACCAAATACTAGGGAAATATCTGATGGATCCAAATCAGATTCTGAACCGTACCACAGAATCAAGTGGAAGTGACACCGATGACAATGAAGATGATGCATTGCTTGAATTTGGGACCGAAGATGCCCGGGGGGGGTACTCCCCTAGATTCGCTATAAGGGTAAGAACCGCCAAACAGGGGTATGGTTTTCCGCGATTCTACTCTGGAACAGGGTATATAAAATCGCGCTCGCTCTGGGACAGGGTATATGAAATCACGCTCTCTCCTCTCTGGAACAGGGTATCCATTTTCGCAATACCGGAACAGGGTTTGATTTCCAGCGATCTTGCTCTGGAACAGAGTATGAATTTCAGCGATTTTAAAAGCTAAACGGGCAAGAGTACTACCCGCCCCCCGGGCGAAGATGAAACAGAGGGTGAAGAAGAGGTCTGCGAAACGAGAGTCAATCGTTATGGCCATACAGTTGGCTCCTGGAAATCACGTTTCTGAAATACTAAAAAATA